ATGTTAAGCTTCCCTCATGGGAGAGACATATCCATCTTGAGAATGGACAAGGTGTTTAACAAAGAAAGGAAATCTCACTTCCCTGGAATTTGTTGAACTGTCCTTCTTTTGGAACAGAGTAGGCAAATATGACAGAAGAGAATCCATAATGCCAGGACCGCCTGACCTTCCTGGACTAGTCAGTCTGGGCACAACCTGGTGTAGAAAGTGTAACAATTAGCCAGCTGTGACTATTGTTTCCTCCTTACCTGACCATTGACTCATACACCCTTTTCCTTGAAGATATCTTCACCTTTCTTTTCACTCTCAATAGACTGTTCCCACCGCTCACATTTCCACCTCTCTCCTCAGTTTTGAATCAAGTCTTCCATTTTCTTTTCCTTTTCTAAGTCTCCCCAGTGCAGTCACACTACCGAGACTCTAATGACCAGGACAGGAAGTTCCAGGATTACTGACTTGGACAGAAATCTCAGGAAGAAATGCTATTGATAGGGTTATCTGATTTGACTTTTAAAAGAAAGATGTATTCATGTCTGGATGAGACCTGTTGCCCAATGGACTCCCCAAAATTTCTCTCCAGCAAGGATTCTACCTTCATGAACCTCAGTGTTTCTAGAAACATTCACTGCACAGACTACACAATAAAACATAACAGTCTTTGACCTGGAGGAATTAGCACTACACAATAAAACATAACAGTCTTTGACCTGGAGGAATTAGCAGTCTATGGAGCTTTGCAGGTTAGAGAATTAACAATGTTAATTCTAAGCCACATCGATTCAGCTTTAAATTCCACCTATTACATTCTTTACATTAAAAAAAAAATTTAATCCTCAATAAAGAATATGTTACTGATTTTTAGAGAGAAGAAACATCAATGTGAGAGAGAAACATAGATCAGTTGCCCTCTGTGTGCACCACGACCAGGGATTGAATCCACAACCAAGGTATGTGCCCTGACCAGGAATCAAACCCACAACATTTGGGTGTATGGAATGATGCTCTAACCAGCTAAACTATCCAGCCAGGGCTATATTACATTCTTAACGAGTTATTGTATTTATGAAATCCAAGACTATGTGATTCCTTTCAACGGTTCTCTAGTGAAATTCTCAATATTTTAATGAACACATTAATAAAAGTTACTTAAAAGTCCATGTTTGGCCCGGTTGGTGTGGCTCAGTGGTTGAGCATCGATCCATGCACCAAGGGGTCACAAGTGGGGGGCATACAGGAGGCGGCCAATGTTCTCTCTCATTGATGTCTCTCTCTCTCTGTCTCTCTCTCTCCCTTTCTCTCCAAAATCAATCAAGAAAAAAATTTTTAAAAAAATCTATGTTTGTGCCCTGGCCGGTTTGGCTCAGCGGTTGGAGCGTTGGCCTGCAGTCCAGAGAGACCCGGGTTCGGTTCCCGCTAAGGGCACATACCTCGGTTGCGGTTTGTCCCCGGCCCTGGTTGGTCGTGCGGGTGGCGGCCACTCGATGTGTCCCTTCACGTCGATGTTTCTCTCTCTCTCTCTTCCTCTCTCTCCCTCCCGCTCTATCTGAACAAAAAATGGAAAAATGTCCTCGGGTGAGGATAAAAAAAAAAAAAAAAAAAAATCTATGTTTGTTAACTGTCATATCTGGACCATCTAGGGGTCAGTTTCATCATCTTTCTCTTTGTTCTGGGTCATGTAATCTTTCTTTTCCCTGGAAACACTAATTAATTTTGGTTTTAATGACAGACATTGCATATCACAGTAAGTGGAGGCGCTGTATGGTATCTTTAGCCACAGAGGATTCCTTCTGGTGAGCAAGAGCACCAGATGGACCTTTTTAGCAAGTCAAGACTGTATATCCATAACTTAGGAAGGTTGGAGAAACAACAAATTTCATGTACTTTTGGAAGACACCTGCACAGTATACACCAAATCTAAAATGGATTATTCTTTGATACACTAATTCTAGAAATTTTTTTCCAAGAAATTCCACATAAAGATGGATGTTACTGTTGTAAATTTTTCATTGAAGTGCTGTTCAGGAGACACACACTGAGTATTCTTCAGTAGAAAATTGGCTAAAACATAACAGAACACTGCACAATTAAAATATTATACATCAATATTGATAGAAAATATTCCCAACATGAATGAGCGAAGTAAATCAACTCACAACATAGTATGCACACTACCTAAGTTTTGTAAGATAGAATAAACTTGTACCCTTTTGTTGATACCCTAAAATGTCCAATGAAATACTGTTACCCTGGCCTACTAGCTCAGTTGGTTACCCTACTAGCTCAGTTGGTTACAGCAAGGTAGTAGGTTCGATCCCTGGTCAGGACACATACAAAAATCAACCAATGAATGCATGAGTGGGAGGAACAACAAATCTCTTCTCTCTCTAAAGGTCAACAGATAATAAAATATTGTTTATATAGGTCAGTGGTATTCCTTGTATTAGTGCTTTAAATGATTTTGTTTGCTTCAAAATGTGAGACATTTTTAAAGCTTAATTTTACTCTGAAAAAAAATGTTTTAAAGAACTTCCACAATGCTGATGCATGATTAAAATGGCAAATCATAACTCATAGTAACATTACAAATATTTGTATTTGAATATGGTATACTCAAGGAAAATGGTGGACAACAAAGCCGGGTACAGAGTGGGGGTGGGTGGGTAGGAGGGTGTCAATGGGGAAAAAAAGGAGAAACATCTGTAATAAAATAAAAATTTTAAAAAAGGAAAATGGCAAGTCTATATGTGACAGAGGGACAAAGGTGTAGAGACAACTGCCTTAGAAATATTTAAACGGGTATGTTCTAAGGTTAACAGAGCATTGAGTCTTGAAATAAATTTCCTATCAGTGGGTTGCAATGAATAAATGTGGAAATCAACTCAACTGAATGGTCAGAGGTAAGAGAATCACAAAAGGATTGATCCAGAGGCATTTTCAACCAGGTCTCCATCCTCACCCACCTGTGTTTAAATGAGGCACAGCAATGAATCCCCTTTTTTATCTCCACTCTTTTGTCTTGAGTTTTCTACTTTTTACAGTTGAAGACATTCTACCTGATATAAACAACTCTGACTTCTAGCAGGCCACTCTAGTGTCTGCTAATGACTGCATTATTGGCCCTAAATTTCTGATGGTGACATAAAACTTGAGATATCATAGATCATAACTATTCAGTGTCTGGAAGGTAAGGTCCAGAAAATAAATGGTGGGAAACTGTCCCCTACCTCCAGTAAATATACACCAGTTTAAGCAAGAAAACCTAAAAACTACTGAAACACTAAAATGTATGGGGTGGTGTCCAAAGTGGTGTACTGTGCCTTAAAAGCTCAGTTCAACATCCAACATTCTGTTATATTAACCCCCTTTTGCCCCACACTCCATGAAGCTTTAAGGAATTAAAATCAAGTTTTCTTGTTTTCACTGTCTCTTCCTGTAACAAAATAAGACGGTGAAAATAAGGTAAACACATCACTGCTTGAAAAGTGCAGCTGAGCCCTGGCCGGTTTGGCTCAGCGGTTAAAGCGTCAACCTGCGGTTTTGAGGGACCCGGGTTCGGTTCCCGCTAAGGGCGCGTACCTCGGTTGCAGTTTGTCCCCGGCTCTGGTCAGTCGTGCGGGGGGCAGCCACTCGATGTGTTCCTTTCACATCGATGTTCCTCTCTCTCCCTCCCACTCTACCTGAAAAAAGAATGGAAAAATGTCCTCGGGTAAGGATTAAAAAAAAAAAAAGAAAACTGCAGCTGAGCAGAGGTCAGGAGCCAGTTGCAAAAACCTTACACACAAATTGCAGTGCATAATTTTATGTATTTGTAATAAGTGAGAATATCCTTGAATTAATTTTTTGTTTTTATTGATTTTTTTTTAGAGAGAGAGGGAGAGAGTTAGAGACATCATTCGTTGTGAGAGAGAAATATCAATCGGCTGCCTCCTGCACGCCCCCTACTGGGGTTCGAGCCTAAAACTTAGGCTTGTGCCCTGACTAGAAATAGAACTGGGATCTCTCAGTCCATGGGACAATGCTCAATCTACTGAGCCACACCAGCCAGGCCTTACATTGATTTTAGAAAAAAAATTTTTTCTTTATTGATACTAGAGAGAGAGGAAGTGAGAGGGAGAGAGAGAAACATTGATTGGCTGCTTCCTGCATGCCCCCCACTGGGGATCTGGCCCACAACCTGGGCATGTGCCCTGACCAGGAATTGAACTGGCAACCTCTTGGTGCATGGGTCGATACTCAACCACTGAGGCGGTGGGCTGGGCCCTTAAATTAATTTTTAAGATTTCTTACAAAAATCCTTTTCCGAGTACAATTTATTACAACTAATTGGGTTGAGCTCATTAAAATTTTAAAGTAGTCATCCTATTTATAACAGACTTTCACCTAGATCAAGTTAGATATTTCCAGGCACCTACTATTTGATAGGCAGTGATTTGGGGTCATGGTCACTGGCAGTAAATAAACTTCCTGCCCTGGTGGAGCTTACATTCTCATGGACATGGATTTTGTCATGTCTTTTGCTAAGGTGCTGATCTTTATTTTGAAGGCCTCTATCCTGTGTAGATTTTAGTGAAAGTGAAGGTTCTGACAAACTTATAATTGGCTCTTACAGGGTTTCTCTGTGGTGCATTTTCTTAAGAATTGTGACTTGGGGGGGGGGGGTGGTACGTGCCCCCAGTGGGAACCAAACCTGGGACTCTCTGGTCTGCAGGCCGACGCTCCAACTGGTGAACCAACACGGCCAGGGCAAGAACTGTGGCATTTTTAACTCTGCCAGAACACTGGCCACATTATGTACTCTATGATGAACCAGAAGATATGAACACTTACTAAAGCTATTACCACATGCAAAGCATTTGTAGTGTTTCTCTCTAGTATAGCTCTCTAATGAGCTTGAAGACTTGAGGTGTGACTAAAGTTTTTACTGCACATGCCACATTTATAGGGCTTCTCTTCTGTGTGGCTCCTCTGATAAACATGAAGATTTTCCCACACACAGCACATTTGTAGGATTTTTCTCCAGCGTGGACTTGTTAATGATCTTGAAGACATGAACTGTGACTAACACCCTTACCACATGTCTCACATTTTTATGGCTTCTTTCCTGTGTGGACTCTCTGATGAATTTGCAGATTTGATGTCTGTCGGAAGCTCTTTCCACAAACACCACAGTTATAGGGTTTTTTGCCTGTGTGGATCCTCTGATGAACATGGAGATACCAGTTCCTGTTGAAGCCTTTTCCACACTCCTCACATTTGTAGGGTTTCTCACCCGTGTGGACTCGCTGATGGGATTGAAGATTTGAACTCCGACTGAAGCTCTTACCACACGCAGCACATTTGTAGGGTTTCTCTCCCGTGTGGACTCGCTGATGGGCTTGAAGACTTGAGGCATAACTGAAACTCTTACCACACACAGCACATTTGTAGGGTTTCTCTCCAGTGTGGACGCGCTGATGGTATTGAAGACTTGAGGCATAACTGGAGCTCTTACCACACACAGCACATTTGTAGGGTTTCTCTCCTGTGTGGACACGCTGATGGGCTTGAAGCTTTGAACTTTGACTGAAGCCTGTCCCACACACAGCACATTTGTAGGGTTTCTCTCCAGTGTGGACTCGCTGATGGGCCTGAAGATTTGAACTCTGACTGAAGCTCTTCCCACACACAGCACATTTGTAGGGTTTTTCTCCTGTGTGGATCCTCTGATGAACATGAAGACACGAGCTCCATCTGAAGCATTTCCCACACTCTTCGCATTTGTAGGGTTTCTCTCCTGTGTTGATATTCTGAAGAATTTGCAGATGTGAGCTTTGACTTAAGTCCTTACCACACTCATCATTCCTATTGCATTTCAATTCTCTGCAAACACTTTGATGAGTGCAGAGCGCCAAGCTATAACTGACACCCTCCTGACACTCACTATGCATATGAGGTTTTGTTCCTCGGTGCAACTGTTGATGAAGTTCAACACTGGAGCCAAGGCTGAAGCTTTTCCCATTCTCATCAGAGATTTGCTCTCCTGAGTGGATTACACTATGCTGCAATGACTTCTTCATGAAGTCTTTTCCACAATTCTTGTGGCTATAAGACTTCTTGCCTTTGTGTACTTCCCAATCATCATCATGGTCATGAGAGGTCCTTCTCCTAACACAGTGATCACACTTGCACAGCTTACGTTTTCCCTCAATATACTGACACCGACTCTGATAATTCTTTGACTGTCTCAAACACAATTTCTTCCAGAAATCCCAGGTGGTCTTAATTGGAAACTCTTGATTTTTTATACTACTGGAACTCTGAACTTCCCCTTGAAGGTTTATTACATAGTTCTCATCTTCAGAAACCTGAGTAGATTCTCCTGCCCACAACCAACAGGAGGAATCACCTTGTTTTGGCAAATCAGATTCTTTGCCTTGCAGATTCATTATCAAGTCTGGATTTCTGGTTAACTTACTTATAACTTGTTCCCATATTTGCCAGCACACAAGGTCTTCATGAAAAAGGTATATTTTTAAAGACTCTTCAATTTTTTGAAGAGTCTCTATCTCATTTTGATTCCAATGTCCTGGAAGGATAAGGAGAATTCAGAGATGAAAATGAGGACAAATAAATGTCTGTTCAGAGATAAAAATATTTCATTGGTCCACCACACTGGCTTTGTCATTGGCTTTTTCATGCCTATGGAAACAAAGAGATGATGAATAGGCTCCTATCCTCTAAGTGTTAATGAGACTCATTTCAAACTATACCAAGGCTTATGCATGAGATCAAAATTAGAAATACATGGCTACAGAGCAGGGGACTTTTTCAAAAAACAGTGAAAAGAATATATAATATTGAACTGGTGAACATTATAACTGCAAAAGACTAGAAAACGCATTCCCATAACAGACACATCTAATGAAAGTAGAAATCCTATGATACTGTTGCCACTTTTTTTTTATCCTCACCCAAGGACATTTTTCTATTTTTTGTTCAGATAGAGTGGGAGGGAGAGAGAAACATCGACGTGAAAGGGACACATCGAGTGGCTGCCACCTGTATGACCAACCAGGGCTGGGGACAAACTGCAACTGAGGTACGTGCCCTTAGCGGGAACCAAACCTGGTCTCTCTGGACTGCAGGCCGACGCTCTAACCGCTGAGACAAACCAGCTAGGGCTTGCCACTTAATTTGGCTAAATTTTCTGATGAATGTGAATGGCTAATATTATCTTCTCGTTTTTGTACATAGGTATTTTTACATATGAAAAGGTGCTATGGTATCCAGCATATAGGATGGTACCCAATGATCCTATTTCCTGATACCATATCCTATCAAATCCCTTTCCATAATATATGAGGATTTGTCTGTGAAGCCAATGGAATATGGCAAGAGTGAGAGTATATCACTTCCAAGGTTAGGTCATAAAAGACATTATGCCTTCCACTGTCTTAAGTTGTAACCAGCTGGGGAAAACCAGCTGCCATGTTTAGAGGACACTGAGGCAGTCCAAGGGACAGAATCATGGGCAAGGAACTGAGGCCTTAGGACAATGACCATGTGAATGAGTCCATCCTGGAAGCCAATCCTTCAGTCCCATTAGCCTTCAAAGGCCTGAAGCTCTGCTGGACTCCTTGACAGCAATTATATGAGATCCTGATCCACATCACCCAGCCAGGCTGCCTCCAGATTCCTGACTCACAGAACTACACATAAATGCTTTTGTAGTAAGCTGCTAGGTTTAAGAGTAGTTTGTTATACAGGTATAAATAGCTAATACAAGTACCATAAAAATCATAATTAGATTAGACATCCATCAGAAGAGTAACAATGTTCTGAAATAATCCTTCAGTCACACTGGTTTTTCCTCCACTTATGAGCTGTATCCAGGAGGAGTGAAGACAGTGAGATCCACCTAGCACCACTCTCTGTAAGCTTTAGTTTATAAGAATCTTTAAGGAAGAAGAAACCCTTTAGTGTGTGCATCTGTGCAGTGGAAATGAGCCTCAAGGATATTCTACAGAGATGGAGCAGGCCAACTAAATGGACAAAAAAAAAATGCAAAATCCTGGGATACTCTGATATTGCCAAAAGAACTTTTAATATGGGAGATGTGAGTAGCACATACTTAGTATAAGATTCATTCAGCTTTCTGAGGAGTGTGAGTTACAGAGGTGTATCTATTGGTCAAAACTCATCACATTGTGTGCTTAGGATGTGCATATGTAAATGTTACCTCAAAAAAAAGAATTTAAATAAGAAGTCATTTCATGTCCTGAAAATTCATGTAGGTGTATGTTTATAATTGGTACAGTTTTCTGTATATATTTTAATAAGATGTTGGACACAAATTTAAAAATAAAAGTAAAGATTTGTTCAAGAAGGCAAAGCAGACCTGAATGGGTAGCTCAGTTGGTTAAAGCATTACCCAATACACTACAGTTGTGGGTTCGAATCCCAGTCAGGTTACATAGAAGAATCAATCAGTGCCTAAATAATAATTTAAAAAAAGAATTTCCTTCCTTTCACAAAACAATCATAATTTTTTTAAAAAATGGCAATACAGTTGGAAAGCTACCTGGTAAGAAAAAAATAGACAACAGCTGTAACTGTTGTAACTGGGATGGTAATTCCCATGGCAGATATGTAAAGAAATATAAGGGAGTGAGTCAAATGGAGCCAGCATTCAACATTCCTGACTGTGCGAAACCATCCCGCAGCATGAACACACAAGAACAGAAATGATAAAAGGCCTGAGAAGATTTTCCCCCACTACTCACAATAGGTAGGGCCTCCTCTGTCAGATTAGCAGCTAGATTTTCCTGGGTTTTTGTTTGCTTATGTAGTTTTTGCTTTTTGGTACTTATATCCAATAGGGATGACTATAGTTACTGTATTTTAGGCTGGATTCACCTGACGGACATACAAAGTAAAGAAGAATGAAGGAGGTAGTGAAGAAAAGGGAGAAATGAAGGGAATGAAGGGAGGAGAGAGGAAGGTAGGCAGGGTGGCTGTCACCAGGTAAATAAAATGGATGAAGCAGTACTCCTAATGGCAACGCAAAGACCACAAGTTAAGATAAGCTGTGAGGGAGCCTTTTCACTACCATTCAAATGGGACAACCTACCCATTCATCCATTCATCCATTTGCTCATTAATCAAACAAATATTTAATGAACATATCCTATGCTTTAACTTTATTAGATGCACCTGGTACACAGCAAGAAAACAGACACAATCCATGCTCCATGCTCTCCTGATGTTATACTCTCTAATGGGGAGAGAAAGATTATGTACAAACAAAATATAATCTGTTAATATATCAGCTGGTAATTAACAATTATTCACAAAGTAAGGCAAGGTAGGGGGCTGGGGATTTTCAGCAGAGTAGTCAGAGCTGGCTTCTGTGATGAGATGACATCTGAGCAGACACAGATGAGTGAGGTGGGAATGTATCAGGGAGAATATCGTGGGCAGATGAAGAGCAAGAGGAAGGCTGTAAGGTCGAGTCACAGCCAGCATGTCTAAAACACAGAAAGCAGTTTTGTGTGGCTGGAAGGCTAAGGACAGGAAATTAAGCCAGGGATGGGGTGAAGGGCCGGATCAGGCAGGACCCTGAAGGCCACTGAAAGCATTTTGGATTGTATGAATGAGATGGGAAGTCAGGGAAGGGTAAACAGAGAAGTGATCTGATCTGACATGATCTGGCTGCTGTTGGAGAACAGACTATAGGAAGCCAATGCAGAAGCAGGGAGATAGTGAGAGAGCTGTTGTAAGTAAGCAGAGCAATGAATGATGGAGGCTTGGGCCAGGGAGGACCCACCTTGGGTAGTGAGGACAGCACCTGGGTTGTGCCCTGGAAGGACTCAGAGCTGCCTGGGTTTCTGTCTCTATAATGTGAACCTACTCTTCTCTTCCCCACTGTAATATCCTATCCAATGTGAAGGGTTGATATATTGTGAAGAGTAAGTGGCTTATGTACAAGGTTGACACATTAAAGGCACAATTTTTAATTCCAATACTATAATCCTCATGCACTCTAAATAGTATTTCTCCAAATTCTGACCGTTACCTGTTGTACTAAATGCAATGAGTGATCAAATGATCATCCTTCCTCATTTATTCACTATTTTGGTTACACTGTATGCAGTTCTGACAATGAGCTATGCTATCTTTATTCTATTTCCTTCACTACAATAAAAATGTAACTCGCCAACTGATTTTAAAACCCACCAAGAGGCCCTGGCCGGTTTCGCTCAGTGGTTAGAGCGTTGGCCAGTGGTCCAGAGAGACTCAGTTCCCGCTAAGGGCACGTACCTCAGTTGCAGTATGTGTCGGCCCTGGTTGGGTTGGGTGGGTGGCAGCCACTCGATGTGTCCCTTTCACCTCAATGTCTCTCTCTCTCTCTCTCTCCCTCCCACTCTATCTGAACAAAAAATGGAAAAATGTCCTTGGGTGAGGATAAAAAAATTAAAAATAAATAAATAAATAAAACCCACCAAGAGGTTGCAACTGCAATTTGCAAAAAATAGGAAAGGTATAGACAAGAATCCCACAGAACTTAGAATATTCAGATCCCTAGGTTCAGGGACATATTTCAAGAGTCCCGAGTTCTAAACATTTGAAATCAAAATACTCCTGGGAGCTCTGGCTGATTTGGCTCAGCGGTTAGAGCTTCGGCCTGTGGACCAGAGTGTCCCAGGTTCGGTTCCCGCTAAGGGCATATACCTCGGTTGCAGTTTGTCTCCCGCCCCAGTTGGGGTCGTGTGGGTGGCAACCAGTCGATGTGTCTCTCTCACATCGATGTTTCTCTCTCTCTTCCTTCCTCTCTCCCTCCCACTCTATCTGAAGATAAATGCAAAAATGTCCTCAGGTGAGGATAAAAAAAAAAAAAATACTCCTGGGAGCTGACATTCAGTTACAGAGGGCCCCTGTCCTCACCCACTGAGACCAGGTTCCTGAAGTTCTCCAGCATCACGTCTTGGTACAGTTTCCTCTGGGACAGGTCCAACAGCCCCAGCTCCTCCTTGGTGAAGACCACAGCCACATCCTTGAAGGTCACCAGCTCCTATAACATGAAACACAGGCAACCTCAACCTTATGACCAATGGCCACTGGTAGAGGGGCAGCACTGAGAGGGCAGAAAGGATGGGTGGGAAGTTGCTCTGGATTCTGAGGGCCCTGAGTCCACTTTAGGTAGTTTCCTCCTCTTCTCAATCCAGCATGTCAATTTCATACACTAATTTTCCATGGACCCATCAAAAGCATGTGCAATTAAAAAAAATAATTCCTGGCCCTGGCCGGTTTGGCTCAGCAGTTAGAGCATTGGCCTGCGGTCCAGAGAGACCCAGATTTGGTTCCCGCTAAGGGCATGTACCTTGGTTACAGTTTGTCCCCAGCCCTGGTTGGGTCGTGTGGGTGGCAGCCACTTGATATGTCCCTTTCACGTTGATGTTTCTCTCTCTCTCTCCCTCTCTCTCCTTCCCACTCCATCTGAACAAAAAATGGAAAAATGTCCTCGGGTGAGGATAAAAATAAATAAAAAAAATATTTGCATAGTATATCATTTTCCATCCTTTCACTTTCAACTTGCCTATATCATTATATTTGAAGTGAGTTTCTTACAGCATTATAGGCATATAGTTGGGTCATATTTTTTTTCACCCACAATACAAATCTTTTCATTTTAATTGGTATATTTAGGCCATTTACATTTAATGAATTATTTCATATGTTTGGGCTTAAGTCTGCCATTTTATTTTTTTCATTTTTTTGTTTTTCCCCATTTTCCTGTATGTTAGGACCAATATAAAAGATCGAAACTGGATCCAGCTGGTGTGGCTCAATGATTGAGCGTTAACCCATGCACCAAGAGGTCGCCGGTTCGACTCCCAGACAGGACACATGCCCGGGTTGTGGGCCTGATCCCCCTGGGGCATGCAGGATGTGGCCAATCAATGTTCTCTCTCATTGATGTTTCTATCTCTCTCCCTCTCACCTCCTCTCTCTCTGAAATCAATGAAAGAAAAAAAAGAAAGATAGCAACTGGGACATAATACCTGTGTTGTATCCTTTCCAAGGAAGAGAAAAATAATGTGGCTAATCTTTGAGAAGCGACTATAAGAGATAAAAATAAAAACTCAACTCACCTGACACTTAGTCATATTCTCCTGGTCCTCCTGGGGAAACACAGAGTCCTGGGAAGGCAGAAATGGTAGATGAGAGAGAAGCCATGACACATAGGCCCTGACACATACGGCTGCTCTGTGTGAATTTTAAAAAGTGAGCTCTCACACAGTCAGTGTGACTCAGTGGACCAAGCATCATCCCATGGACTGAGAGGTCCCGGTTCGATTCCCGGTCAGGGTACAAGCCTGGGTTTCGGGCTCAATCCCCAGAGGGGGGGGATGGGAGGCAGCCAACTGATGTTTCTCTTTCACATCAATGTTTCTATCTCTTTCTCCCTTCCTCTCTCTCTCTAAAAAAAAAAAAAAATCAATAAAAACAATTTTTTTAAAAAGTGAGCTCTCCTTTGACCTATATCACTAACCTCTCAGCCAGGGACCCTTGGGCAATGAACAACCTCCCAACTCTAAGAAGTAAGGCCAACACAGAGTCCCTTGAAGCTCCCAGAGTTATCATTCTCAGCCTGGGTATTGTGGGAAATGAAAGGCCATGGAATGTACTGGCCATGACCATGAGAGTAAACTCTGAGGCCAAAAGGTCTGAATGGGGCATGGCATCAGCATTCCACTATTGATTCTTCTGACCCAGTAGCTCTTTGTGCCTTTTTTCCACATCTATAAAATGGGGATGATGTCATTCTCTAGCTCATAGTGTCGTTAAGAGGTTTGAGTGAGTACAGGAAATAAGCATGCAGTACCTGACAGCTGCTCATGTTCATGGGTCATCCCAGTTCAGGCAGAAGTACTCTAGTAGGAATGAGAGCAATGAATCCACTTCCCAAAGCCTAGAAGAAATATCTGTTCATAATGTCCAATTCCCTCACTCTGGCCCTTTATTTGTTGCACTCTTCTGCTTTACACAGTAATGGAGTTTTGCAAGGAGACCTGACATTTCACAGTATGTAGTGAGAGAAAGCAAGTAGGGTTTGGTGTGCCTGGCTAGCTCACCACCTGTCCACCACCAGCCCACCTTCTGCTATTCTCAGAAGCCTTTCATTACCTGGGGATAGTTGGTGGATAACTAGTGGGCAAGCAACTATTTTGCCTATGAGATAATTAACACTTTTTTATTCTTAGCACCTAGAATAGAGCGAGTACACAAAAGGCATGGAATCAAAGAATGACTGAAAACATGTTTCGCTGGGTAGCCAGGGAAGGATTGGATTAGTCGATGTCTGAGGTTCCCTGGAGCTATGTGATTCTCAGGCTGCCATTACCAATTAAGAGGAGGAGAGGATGAAGTGTACCTTCCTATATCTTCTTCTGGGTTCCTTATTTTACTTGCTTTGCTCAAACAAAATCAATATCATCCTTAAAAGTGACATATTCATAAAAAGGTCAATCTTGAGCTTCTGGGTAAGGCAAACCATATTTATTTAATTTTAAAAGCGACTGATTGATTGAGTGATTTCATACCAGGTATTTACTCATGTCATTCTCTTCAAAGAGTCTTCTATAGAGATACTTTATTTTATTTCAATCCTCCACTCCACCACTTCCCTTCTTCTCCCATTCACTCCCTTTTTGTGTTTAGCCTCATCACTTTCTAACATGTTCATGTGCGTTTTAGTTTTATCTTCCTGGTATCTGCTCATCTTTTTGGAAGGAAGCTGCATTGTCTGGTCACTACTCTTTCTCCAGTTCATGGCATGTAGCAGGCACTCAAGACAGATGTGTTTAAAAAAAAAAAAAAAGAATGAATTAATGAATAGTGGATAAAAAAACATCCTGTGTCATATTAGCTGAGAGCTTCACCACTCACCAGGATCATAAATGCATTCATTCAACAAATCCCTATTGAGCATCTAACATGGTCCAGGCATATTTCTATATATTAAAGATACAGCAGTGAATAAATTTCCTGATCTCCTGAAGCTGACATTATAGTAGAGTAGGCAGGTGACAAACCAACCAACAGATAAGTATATAATGTGTTACCCGGTTAGACACTGTTAAGAAAATATGGCCAGGAAAACAGGGAGAGAATCTAATGAAGAGGTGCTCTTTTAGAAGGGATGGTTTCAATCCTAGTGCTATAGTTACTGGTTCAGTGACCTTTGCAGGTCAATTATCCTCTTGTGCCTCATCTGTAGAAAACAGTTAATTCATGGAAAGCACTGGAAACTCTGCCTGACTCATAACAAGCTCCCAATAAATGCTAATTATCATTGTCATTATGCAACAAATATACAGAAATGATGCACTACTCCAGTTTGTTCCTAAGTAAATTTGTTTTAGGACATGAAAGTATTGTCCACAACTGTACATCAACTATCAAATACTTGGGAAAAGCAACTGTAAACAGCCAAGAGTGAGTGAAATGAAGGACAAGAACTGCCTAGATAGATCCTTTTCATTGTTTTATCACCCAACCCGTTTCCAGGAATTCAGAAAACAACCTCTCAGGGCCGCGGGCCCTTGTGTCCAGTTGCCCACTGACACTTGCACCAGCCACAAAGACTTAATTGAGTAACTTCTTTCTGCAAACCTTGGCACAGTGTTGGGCACACTGGAAAGAATGACACAATCTCCATAACATAGGACTCTACAGCTTAGGAAGGGCTGGTGGCACTGCAGCTGGAACTCAGAACACACGCAGGACCAGCACAGAAGCTTTCAGGGACAGAGAGCTTTGAAAAGAAACAATAGATTGATACAACCAGCCACCTTTCAGCTTGTGCCAGGGTCACTTCAAAGCACTTTTACACCTTTTTACTTCACCTAAATCTCACAACACGCCAACTAGGGAGGTACTGCTGAGGCAGGATAGCAAGAAGCTAGGAAAATTCCTTGGCTAGTGGAATGGGGAAAGAGACAGATAACTGAACAAAGTGGCAGAGATATTTACAGCCAGATACACAAGGTCACTCAGGCAGAAAGCCCCAGGGCAAAACTGGTGTGGAACCTGCTCCCAGGGTGACCTTTCATATCTCTGGTCATTGGGTTTAGACCACCTCCCCTGACCTTTCCTCCCCAGAGATAACAACAAGGCCTCAGTTGTATTTCAGCTCCATGTCCAGAAAAGCTGCAAAACTTGGCCAGTCAAGGCCAGGGCCAGCTGCAATCAGTGGAGACTAGACCCTGAACAGGCACACCAGGAAAGGCTGATGAATATTCTATTGAGACCCTCTCCTGAGGGCTCCCGAAAATATCCTGCCTTTGGAAAGCAGATAAATCCCCTCCACAGAAAAGAAGCCAGTCCCAGGCTCTCTTTGGAGCACGCCCCACCTTACCTCAGGCGTGAACTTTTTAATTCCTTTCTCCTAAACTCTTATTGTCCCCAGTTTAAATAAATACACTCTTAAAATTACCTGGACTCCTGTTCTGAAAACTTAACCTGTATCAAGTCATGAACCCACACACTGCGGTCTGGCTGGAGGGTTGACTGGGCCAGGTCCCCTTCCGGTGACACTACTATTAACTTGGTCCCCATCTGGTGACACTATTATTAACTCCACTCTAGACAGGAAAAATGGAGAAATTAAATAACTCTACCAAGATTATATCATTAGAAGGCGGTAGTTCGAGCGAATGTCGGGAAGGCGAGGGAACCCGGCCCAGAGACCCTCAAACCTAGAATCGCCACCCCGGACCGCCCCCAACTCCACCCGCAAACCAGTGGCAAACCTGCCCTCCAAGCTTCTATTCCCCGAGCGAGGATGGCACCTGCGGGTCCCACGCCCCTGCAAAGCAGGAAGAAGAGACAAAGGGGCTCCGCATTCGTTCATTCACTCACCTCCGGGCCGGTATTGAGTCCCGCACTCTCCAGAATCTCCCAGCGACGCGAGGGCTGGAGCTCCTCCCTCTCAGAGCGGAAGTGGTTCTGACTACAAGGCACTTTGGACTACATTTCCCAGAATCCGCCACAAGGTTGCGCTTACCGTAGATTGCCATTAAAGAAGCACGTAAAAAACGGCCAGTGTACTCCAGTTGATCTTTGCGTAATGAACCAAGAGGTTGTGGTTCGATTCCCTGTCAGGGCACATGGCCAGGTTTCTGGCAATGCCTAGTAGGGGGCCTGCGGAAGGCAGCCCTTGGGTATTTCTCTCTCAAATCAATGAAAAAATATATAAGATGGTTAGGGTTGATTCAGTTCAGTCAGTTCTCAGATATTAATGCTTGACCTTTTTTTTTCTTTTCCTTTCCTTTTTATTTATTTATTTTAATTTTTTCATCATTTTTTTAAATCATTATTGTTGAATGTATTACAGATGTTCCTCATTTTTCCCCCATTGACCCCCTCCTCCCCACTCCCGCCCCCCTCCTGCCTTTTCCCACACTGTTGTCTGTGTTCATCGGTTGTGTATATATGCATGTGAGTTCTTTGGTTTATTTCTTTCCACCCCCAACCCCCTTTCCTTTGAGGTTTGTCAGTCTAGCAACCAATTTGTACTTCTTAATCCCTTCACCTTTTTTACCCATTCCCCCAACCCCTCCTCTCATCTGGCAACCAACAAAACGTTCTCTGTATCTATGAGAATGTTTCTGTTCTGCCTGTTCATTTTTGTAGATTCCATTGTCGATACATATGTATTCATTGCCATTTTGTTTGTTCATATATTTGATCTTTTTCTTCAAAAAGACCCTTCAGCATTTCATATAATAACGGTTTGGTGCTGATGAACTCCTTTAACTTTTTCTTGTCTAGGAAACTCTTTATATGGCCATCGATTCTAAATGACAGCTTTGCAGGATAGAGTACTCTTGGTTGTAGGTTCTTGCTTTTCTTCACTCTGAATATTTCTTGCCACTCCCTTCTGGCCTTCAAAGTCTCTTTTGAGAAATCAGCTGACAGTCATGGGAACTCCCTTTCAGGTAACCAATTGCTTTTCTCTTGCTGCTTTTAAGAGTCTCTCTTTGTCTTGAACCTTTTGCCTTTTGATGATGATGTGTCTTGGTGTGGGTTTCTTGGGGTTCATCTTATTTGGTACTCTCTGTGCTTCCTGGGCTTGTATGTCTGTTTCCTTCACCAAGTTAGGGAAGTTTTCTGCCGTTATTGTTTCAAATAGGTTTTCGATTTCTTGTTCTCTCTCTTCTCCTTCTGGCACCCCCAAGATGCGAATGTTGGCATGCCTGAAGTTGTCCCACAGGCTTCTTACACTATCCTCATTTTTTTGGATTCTTTTTTCTTTTTGCTGTTCTGATTGGGTGCTTTTTGCTTCCTTATATTCCAAATCTATGGTTTGCTTCTTGACTTTAACCTACTCTACTATTGAATCTGTGTAAATTATTACTTTTTTTATCCTCACCCTATGACATTTTTCCATTTTTTGTTCAGATAGAGTGGGAGAGAGAGAAACATCGACGTGAAAGGGACACATCAAGTGGTTGCCACCTGCACGACCCAACCAGGGCCGGGGACAAACTGCAACCGAGGTACATGCCCTTAGAGGGAATGGAACTCAGTCTCTCTGGACCTAAGGCTGACGCTCTACTGCTGAGCCAAACCAGCCAGGGCTATTCTTACTTTCATTTAGTGCCTCCTTCATTTCTGACTGTGCTTCCTTCATTTCTGACTGGTCCTTTTTTATGCTCTTGAGGCCCTCACTAAGTTCACTGAGGTTCTCACTAAGTTCATTGAGCTGTGCTTCCTTCATTTCTGACTGGTCCTTTTTTATGCTCTTGAGGCCCTCACTAAGTTCACTGAGGTTCTCACTAAGTTCATTGAGCATCCTTGTAAGCAGTGTTTTGAACTCAGTTAGGTTGCTTATCTCCATTTTGCTTAGTTCTTTTCCTGGGGTTTTGTTTTGTTCTTTCATTTGGGATCTGTTTCTTTGTCCCCTCATTCGGGCTGCCTCCCTGTATTTGTTTCTGTGTGTTACTTAATGAGAGGTATGAGGCTAGCTGAGACCAGATGCTGCTTGTTTGAAAGAATTTAGGAAAACCTGAAGCAGGATCCAAGACAGGCCAATCCCATGGTTAAGCAACTGGCAATAGCTTGGGTGGGCCCGAAAGTTGGGTGGGGCAGGGCCTTAGGGAATCACCAGGGCGGGGCAACCAGTGTGAGCCAGGTTGCTGGAGTCCCAGACACAGTGACTGTCTGCCGCCCCAGGGAAGGGCTCACCAAAGGAACAAAGGCCTCTGACAGCACTGTTTGTCCTGGAGAAAGCCCCCTCCTCCAGCCTTCACTCCAATGCCAAACAGCTCAGTTCTTACCTGTATGTTTCTGGCGCCCCTTGACCTGCCTCCCCTCCGCGCATGGACTTATCAGACCCTCTCCCTCTAAGCGTGGAGGGGAGGCAGGTCAAGGGGCGCCAGAAACATACAGGTAAGAACTGAGCTGTTTGGCATTGGAGTGAAGGCTGGAGGAGGGGGGTCTGATAAGTCCATGCGTGGGCCTTTTAAGAGGAGCTGCCTGGAGCTCCAGCCGCCTCAGCCTCCCTGAGCCTCAGTTCCCGCTGGTTTTTCCAGCCAGGGGACTTCTCTTCCTGGCACCGGAACCCTGAGTGGGGCACCTGGTGTGGGAGGGGGACACTTCAGTCCTCAGGGAGGACCTTCCTAGCCCAGGTGTTCTTCTGATTTTTATCTGCCACACGTGGGTGTGGGACCAGCCCCTCCACCTCCGCCCCACCTACCAGTCTCAATGTGGCTGCTTCTTTAATCCCATAGTTGTAGGACTTCCATTCAGCTTGATTTCAGGTGGTTTTGAATGATGGTTGTTCTATAGTTTAGTTGTAACTTTGATGTGGTTGTGGGAGGACACGATACCACGTTTACCTACACTGCCATCTTGACCAGAAGCTCTCCTTTCCTTCTTTTTAAAAAAAATTTGTAAACATATTTATTTTCCTTTGATTGATTTTAGAGAAAGAGTAAGTGAGATGGGGGAGAGATAGCAACATCCATAAGAGAGAACATCGATTGGCCACTTCCTGCACGCCTCCCACTGGGGATCAGGCCCACAACCTGGGCACGTGTCCTGACTGGGAATCGAACCAGAGACCTCTCGGTGCATGGGTCGATGCTCAACCACTGAGCCACACCAGCTGGACTAAAAAGTTTTTAAACATCACAATACTAATAAGTGTGACAGAGAAGTAAATGTAGCTGAATAGGACAGAAAGGCAAACAGAGGATCCCAAAGACTTTTTGATGCTGTTGCTTTCTTTTGTCTACTTGTGCCTGGATACATCTAAACCTCTGATAGTTTATCTTGTGTGAACTATTCATTCCAAAATGCTAAAGACACACAAAAAGGAAAAGTAACTTCTCACCAAACCACAAAACAAATACCAAAACTTTTCCATTCTTGTTGGTTTTAAATGGTCATTAGAAAGTAAGTTTTCTGGCAAATGAAAGATGCACTGTCAAGGAAGTGAAGAAAATACTATAACTTGAAAAAGGAAAGCCAAAAACATATGTTGAAAATGTTTCTTTAGCTCACCTTCAAATGTCTCATCATCTACACCCAGCCTGCTCTTGACATCATAAATACGATAGAATGCTTTATTTTTCTACAAGATGGTTGAAATGAGTCATGATTATTTAAACAGTAGGTATGGAAGTAGGGGATGGATCCTGCTCAAATAACAGTAACAAAACAGAGAAACAGCAGAATGGTGGTGTGAATTTTCCTGTTTTCCATACCTAATTATTATTTTATATCCTCATCTGAGGATATATATAATATATATATATATATATATATATATATATATATATATATATATAGTCATTGATTTGAAAGAGAGAAGAAAAAACAGAGAGAGGAAACAGAAACATCAATTTGAGAAACACTGATCATTTGCCTCCTGTATGCACCCTGAACAGGGATCAAACTCGCAACCTAGATATGTGCTGTGACCTGGAATTGAACCTGTAACCACCTTGTGTTTGGGAGGATGCTCCAACCAACTGAGCCACCTGGCTAGGGCATTTCCCATGTTATTGATTTTAGTTTTATTTAATTGTTTTCAGAGAATATACTTTGATTACTCTTTACATTTATTAAGCCCTGCTTTGTGGCCTAATATATGCTGTATACCGTTCAGTATTCCAGATCTACTTGAGAAAAATATGCATTCTGATTTTTAAATCTACTGAAGGTTTCATGTGCTAAAATTTTAAAATTATTATTTTTGTTAATCCTCAACGGAAGTTATTTTTTCCATTGATTTTTAGAGAGAGTGAGAAGGGAGGGAGAGAGGGAGAGAGAAAGAAAGAGAGACATCATTTGGTTGCCTCCCACATGACCCTGACTGGGCCAGGGAATGAACCTGCAACCCAGGTACGTGCCCTTGACCAGGAATCAAACCTGAGATCTTGGGCTGACACTCTAACTGCTGAGCCAATTCAGCCAGGGCTAACGTGCTAAGACATTAAGTCTTAACGTTAAAAATTTTTTTTAAAAATTGATTTTAGTGAGAGAGCAATGAAGAGGGAGAGAAACACTGATGTGGGAAACATGATAAGCTGCCTCCTGAACAAACCCTGACCGGGGCTCGGACCCCCAACCAAGGTGAGTGCCTGGACAGGGAATTGAAATGGTGACCTTTCAGTGCACAGGATTAGGCTAAAATGAAAACACATTTTTTTGGGGGGGGGGGTACGTGCCCCTAGCGGGAACCAAACCCAGGACTCTGTTCCGCAAGCCAATTCCAACCACTCAGCCAAACTGGCCAGGGAGAAAGTGCATTTTTTTTTTATCCTCACCTGAGAACATTTTTTCATTTTTTGTTCAGATAGAGCAGGAGGGAGAGAGAGAGAGAAACATTGACGTGAAAGGTACACATGGAGTGGCTGCCACCCACATGATCCAACCAGGGCGGAGGACAAACTGCAACCGAAGTACATGCCCTTAGTGGGAACTGAA